AGAGTCAGTTTCTCCATTAGACTTTGGAAGGAGTTTTACAGATAAGGCAACTGAGTCTCCTGTTACTAATAAGATTATATTGCTAAGAGCAGCAGTCAGTCTGTTTGACTCCAAATGGTTGCCGTGGATTACCACATCTCTAAATAAAGTTTTGCTCAGTTGCATGATATACTATATAATGAAAGCAAGAAATAAATTGAAGACTACAGAAGTACGTAGAGTGTTTGCAGTTCTTAGGATTTGGGTCTGATTCTACTGAAGAAAAAAAGAGCTTTTATCTGAAATACAAGACATTTTCAGATTCAGAAATGTAGCTGGGACCTTTTCAACCTACTAAAGGTTCTGTTTACTTTGAAGGATGGGCAGTCTTGTTCTGTGTATCAGAAGAGTCTGATAGTTTTAAGAAATCTGGATAGATCAGGTCTTTGGAAAAGGCTTTTCAATTTTTTTATGTTCCATTCACCTCTTGCCTGGGCTTCAAAGGGAAGAGGTGGAAGAGACAAGGGTACAAAGGGAATGACTACCTGATTCTGACTCCTCATATTGTGTGTTTTATATTCTGATGCTCCTTGTTCTTGAAGATAATGCTGTTTTATGTTTTAGAAAATAAGTATAATAATTGACCCTTGAGCAACAGGAGGGTTGGGGGCTTGCTGACCCCAACACAGTTGAGAATCCGCGTATAACTTTCAACTCCCCAATACTAGTTGTGCCTCAGTATCTCCTGGGGATTGGTTCCAGGGTCCTCCACAGATACCAAAATCCGCGGATGCTCAAGTCCCCTGTATAAAATGGCATAATTCAATACATATTGTCAGCCTGCCGCATCCGCGGACTCCCAACGGCAGATCGAAAACAGCGCAGGTATTTAGTAAAAAAAAAAATTCCTTGTATAAGGAGACCGGTGTCATTCAAGCCCGTGTTGTTCAAGAGTCAACTGTCATTTTAAAAAATAGTGAACTTTTTGCTTAATGTGGGCATAATTGCTTAGTAATACCACATCTAAAATTAAAATTAGGTGGTGGGATTTATCCTTTTATGATTTTAAAGCAAATTTGTAAAACTAAAAATTTAAACAACTGCATAGTATTTTAGAGTAGGTACCTTATAACTTTAATGAGCAATCTGATGAAAATTCTTACCGATATATGCATTAAAATAATTTTGTAATGCGTTTTAAATTTTAATTAATTGAGACAGCATAAGAAGCATTTCTAATGTAAAATTTGATTTTGTGTATTCATCTTGTTTCCCAATATCTAGTACAATGTTGGTCATATAAATTACCTAAGAAATAATGGTCAAATTAAACAAATCACCTTTTCACTTAATTCAGCTAAAAGTTCAGAATTACCTCTGCTTGATTAGGCTTCTGAAATAAGTTGTTATTTCCTCTACTTATAGGTTGGTATAGTGGAAAAAACATAGTTTTTTGAGTTAAATAGACATGACTTTGAATCTTCTTTCTGCCACCATTAGCTGTGTGACCTCAGATAAGTAATTTAAGCTTCAGTTATATCGCTTATGAGATAATTATCCTTCCTTATAAGAGTAGGTTATATGAGGATTAAATGAGATAGCATTTATAAAGAACTTAACAATAGTACCTAACACAAAATTGACCCCCAACAAATGATAACCAAAGTAGTGATAATTTCTTCTGAAAATAATAAGTATTGAACAACAACCATAGAATTTCAAAGGCCCGTCTTGAGGAATAAAAGCATTTGGAACCTATAATGATAATATTAATGATAAATACTGTTTGATTACAGGGTACGGTGTGCTAGGCATGTGCTAAGCACTTTAGGAAGTAATACATGTACTTGTCTTTTCTGTTTCATTGTTGCAAATGTAATTTATAGCTCTTTACCTTTTCTTTCCATTGTCAGGGTTTGCTTAGAACCACACTTCCGCACCCCAAAGCCGAACGTTGCTATGCTCAGTATGAAATCACTCAGCTTCTCCCAGGCATTGAGCTCTTCTCAGATAGACACAGGGCCGACATCTGCTCTGTAGTTGCAAGTCTGTATTACATTATACGTGAACTGCACTTTGTTAAGCAAAATATCATTGTAAGTAATTTGTGAAATCAACAAATCTTAATTCACTGTGGTATTAGATTGCCCCTCTCAGCTTATACTTTTCAAAACTTGCTAATGTTCTTTTGGTCAGTTCTTGTTTAACTTTTAAACTCTATATTCAGGATTCTTATCTGTACTTCAAAATGAAATTAATTAAGATTCTTTCTTTGACATTGTTGTTTGCATTGTATCCACAAGCAATGTCTATTTGATTTTGTTCTTTTTTTACTGTATTTTACCTTTTAATTTTTTTTAAAAAAAGACATGTGGTGATATTGATTAGAATCTTTCACTGGTCTCAAACAGAGGAA